GGAAGTGGCCGCGCCGCCATGTTGGCTGCGAGGGGAAGCGGCGGGCGGCCGCGGCGCTAAGATGGAGGCGGGGAGCCCGCGGGGGGCCTAGGGGGAAACCCCCACCCCTGAGGGGGGCGGCCCGGGGCCCATGGGGATGCTCTAGGGTGAGCTGAGCCGCCGGGAGAGCGGGGTTGGGGTTGGGAGCGGGATTGGCGTTGGGATTAGGGTTGGGATTGGGATTGGGATTGGGATTGGGAGCGCTTTTGGGGTTGGGATTTGGGGCTCCGGGACCAGGTCGTGGGCAGTGGAGCCGTGGCCGTGCGGCACCCGCCGGGCGCTGCGCCTTGGGGGGGGGGGAGGGGGGGGTGTTACTGGAAGGGGGGGGTAAAGCTCGGGATTTGTGGGTGAAAATCAAGTTTCTGACCCAAAATCGGAGCTGCCCCTTTGCAATCTTGTTCCTGTGGCAGCATTCAGTGCGTTGTGGGGGTCTACAACGGTTCTCGGGGTGTGCTGAGGGCTCGGCCTTCATGAGGTGGCCCCGAGCGCTGTGTCGGTGCCCCTCAGAGACCCCCAAACTTTTTATTCAAAAATTGAGCTTTATTCTGCACAATTCCGGACCCGTGGTGTGTGGGCAGCTGGTGCTTAAACCACCTGTCCCGGCAGCACAAGGAGCTGTGCCAAGTGTGTCTGTGCCAGGCCCTCCCGTGGCAGCCCCAGCCCAGGTTGCTCTGCTGCCAAATTTAATATTTTGGAGCAGCACAATGTGCCCAAACCACAAAATGAAGCTCTTTGGAGCTGCTTGTGCCGTGCCTCATCTCTCACCCCACGATTTACCCTTAAACACTGCTTTTCCAGGGCAAAGCGCCACCAGGGGCTGTCCCAGCGTGGTGCTGCTAAGAGCCGTGGTAACAAGGAGTTAATTTCAGAGAGGCATTAATAACCCAGAGATCAGGGGTGTAAAGCCCTGCAGTTATCGCACATGAGGGGCTGTAAAAGATGAGCCTTTTTTTTTAGGATGGGCGGTTCTGCTGGCTGTGGGCAGTGCAGAGCTGCTGAGGGTTGCAGTGCTCGCATCAGAGGTGAAGAATTTAAATTTAATCAAGTCCTTGATAGGATCAGGTTGAGGGAAGAGCTGTTTTGGAGAAAGAACAGCAAGCGGGATCGAAAGGAGACTTGAAACACAGACGGCTGTTGAAATTTGGATTTATACCCACCCTAGTACTCGTTCGTGTCACATCTCCAGCAGGTGGGTTGGGCGCAGGCACTGCGCTGCCCAACAGGAGGCTGAGAGGTAAATGAAGTGAATAAGGTGAACGAGGAGATCAGAATTTGGGTACAGAGCACCCGGGTCTTCAGGGACAAGCTCTGGGCTTTGTGTGGCAGCCGGGCTTCCAGGAGGGCGCTGACGTGTTCAGCAACTCTTCTAGGAGCAGGGCAAAAAACCCCAGATGTTCAGCTGCAGTCAAATGTCAGACGGCTGGTTCTGCTGAAAATGTGGTTAAAATAAGGGCTTTTCTCGCTTTTCACTACTGCTAAGATTACTGGCTTCAGTTTCACTCCTCCGGAAAAATTAATGTCAGCTTTTAATGGCTTTTTTTTTTTTTTAATGGCTTAAAAATTAATGTCAGCTTTGTGGCAGGACGGTTAGCACGCTCCGGTTAGACCTCACCTGGTGAAGAAGCAGCTTTTTTAACTCTCTGACTTGCTTCCTCTCTGTGCTTAAATGGTGATGTTGATTTGCCATCCCCTTATGAAAGCAGCCCAAGGAAAAGCCCGATTTAAGATATTAAAATAGAGATAAATGGAAACAACAACACGAGCGTCGGGCTGGAGCTGCTGCCGGATTCCAGCCATCGCCAGCAACAGCCACTGTCAGCAGCAGCTGATTTAGGGAGATTTGCAGAGCCCTTGGCCAGCATTCCTTTTTAATTGAAACAATCAGTTTTGTTTTCCTCCCGCTTAACTGGTTTTGCAATAAAAGGGCCTTGCATAACATTTGTACTCTGAGAAGTGCTAACATCTGTCACAGGTTGGCTGCTTTCGGCGCCTCGTTGGCAGAGCTGGAGGTAGCAGCACGCAGATGCAGCGTGTCCGCAACAAAACCCGGGGCAGGAGAAATTCAGCGTTGTTACATCTGCTGTATGAGCTCTGGAGTTGATTCCAGAACAGTTTCCAAAAAGGAGCTCTTTAAAACGAGCGTTTTGGCTGGTTGTTAAAAGCCGGAGCTCTGCCTTCAGTGATGCGTTGCGGGGCTTCTCTGTGGTGAAATCAGGTTTTTCTCAGGATACTTTTCCTAATTAAATGCCAAGTCAGCATCCAGGCAACGAATCGGAGCACTCAACTAAGAGCAGGACAGTGAAAAGTGAAGCCAAGCAGGCCGTAAAGCACAAAACCTGTTCAAATCCCCGAATCCATGCCCCAGCTCTCCCTCCTCCTGCGGCCCCCAGGTAGCCCTGGGACCAGCTCAAGGAGACAAATCCCTTCACGGTGGCCCTGGAGCACCTTGCAGCTCTCCCAGAGGAATTTTGATGCACTCAGGTGAGAATTAGGGCCCGGAGAAGGGCTGAAGATGTGAGCGAGGCTCACGGGGAGGAGTCGTGGTGCTGAGAAAGGTGAGCAGAGCTGGCAGACACAAAGCTCCCAGGGCCTTGCACTGATAGGGACAAACCTAATTAACTGTGACTCAATTGTCAGATCAGTGCTTGTCTAAAGCTTCCCCTGTGGGGCTTCTCTCTCCACGATACTGTACACGAGACTGCAAGCTTGTTTTCTGGAGCAATTACAGCGTTTGAAAGCAGGAAGGATGCTGCTGGCTGGGGACAGCCCTTCAGAGCAGAGTGTAAGGAAGGTGTTAGTGAGGCTGCGGGGACACCGAGCGGGATAACGCCTGCTTTATGCTCCTTGCTGCTGCCCCCACTTTGCACAGAAGCTGCAGAGCGCGTCAGTCTGGCATGAAAGACACAGAAGTGAGCCGAATTAGAAATCTATTCTCAGCTTTACAGATGTGGCTGCCAAGAAATGCCCACGCACACAGCTTGCAGCAGCTTCTGGGGCCGTTAGCTACGATCTTCTCTCTCAACCCTGCCTTCCACAAGAGTTCTGATCTCTTTCAGGAACTTTTACTCACAGGACGGGCAGGCTGTGCTCATCCCTGTAGCCTGCAATGCCCATATAAAGCATTTGAGGGGAAAAATCCTTGCTTGGTGACTCTTCTGTGATTCATGGGTTCTTCCAAGCCATCAGGCTCCTCCAGAGTGGTTTTGTTACACGGCTCCAGAGCCACGGAGGGGAGCAGCGCTGAGCCCTCTGCTGCTTCCTTCAGATGGCTGAAAATTAATTTGAAAGCTTCCAGCATTGTAGGGTAAGCGTTTGGCATGAAATTAGTGGGACAGTACAGCTCCTGGGTAGGACTGCAGCAGGGAGCCGGGCAGTTCTCTAGGAACTGGCAGCATTTCTCCTCCTGGCCAGCCTGAGCAGGGCATCAGGGAGGTTTTCTGTCCGGGCAAGGCAACCAGGGGCTGCCTCTGTGAACCTTGTGGGTGTTTGCAGCCTGGACATGTCCCAGGACTTGCTAGGTAGCCTAATTAGAAGTTAAAAAGAAGTCTGATGTTCCAAGGCAGTGCTGAGGCTCTAACCTGCTAACAAATCCCCTTTGTAGGGGCTGGAGGCGAGGCGCCAGCTCACCTGCCTCTACTAAAAGCAGCACCGGAGCACTTCACGTCTTTTTTTCTGCCTTACCCTGGGGCAGCAGTCCCCTTCCAGGAAGGCAGGGTGGGGGGAACTCCACACTTCTTTGCCTGCCCTTCACACCTCCTGCAGCTGCCCCTGATGCATTTAGCAGCCAGCTGCGGCCAGCAGAGGGGCAGGGGCTGGCTCTGAGCTGCTCCTAGCACAGGGACTCGGAGGAGCAGAGGCACAGAGGGGACGTGGAGCGGAGAAGCTCACGGTGGGTAAGTTCAGCTGTGGCTCCCACAGAGTTCGTGGCAGGGGTAAGTTGCCAGCTTGTCAAGGAACTGAAGACAGCAGCGACTTCAGCTTTAAGCCAGTTATTTCTGGTTGTGCCTAGATCTGCTTGCTGTCAGGGTGGTTTACCAAGCTTGAATTTGACACACGTTTATCGGGCTTTAAGCATTTAGAGATGCCTCATCTTCAGGAAGGATTTTATCCCCAGCAGTGCTTATTTCGGGGAAATGCAATGGTATAAGAAATATCAGGAGCCTCTTAGTAAATTAGTGCCTGTTCCTTAATGAACGGGGCAGTGGGAGGGGTAGGGTGTGAATGTGTGATACTGCCCATCAACTTGAACGTGTTTTGAAACTAACTTTTGTCAACCGAAGTATTTGCAGTGCCTGCTAGATAAGTGTCCAGCTTGTTTTGTCTCAACTGGAGATGTTTTTACATTCCTCAGGCACAAGCCTGCTTGTTTTGCTCCTGTTCACTTCTGAATGTAGCTGAGCGTCCGACTCAGTCTTCCCTAAGCAACGTAGGAAGACTCATCTCCTGTCTCTCAGGAGTCTCGTGGCAGCAAACTTAAGATATTTCTTTGAAAAAAACCAAAATTTTTTGGCTTCAGATTTTTAAATTAAATTATGGCAAGGGTTACAAGCTGGCACCTCTGCCAGAATCAACAGACTAAACTTTCCTGAAGCTGCAGCTGCGTGGGCAAGCTCAGGAGCCAGGCTTTGCTTTGTAGTTCATCTCCCACTAGCCTTAAATGTACCCGCGTGAGCAAGACTCAGTTGCAGGACTTCCTTCATGGTGCCTGTAAAAAATGTGAGTAGATTAGTGTCAAAAGTCAGAATTTATTGTGCCCTGTTCCAGGGAAGCAGAACGGCTTTGCTTCAGCGATAAATCCGCGTGCTGTCGAGCGGAGGCGACGCTGTGTGAAATAAGAGGTCAGGACTTGGGTTCCTTCTCCAGCGGGTTCGGTTTACTCTGTCCCCACGTGCAGCTAATTAACGCTGTCCTTCCTCTGTAAGGATGAAGGTTTTGAACCTACTTTGTGTGGGGCAGATATGGGCTGGATGGTGTCGAGAACATGAGTCATTGCAGATCGCTCTGCATATGAAGCTGCCGGCCTGGGGTGGATGCTGAAACTGATAGGGCTGCGAATTCAAATCGCTGCAGGATTTCCCCTTTTGTTCCTTTCCAGGAAAGGATCATTTCACCCGCCCAGCCAGCGGTGCTGGTGGAATTGTTAACTTGTGGCCTGCATCTCCTCGCTCTGGATGGAGGCTGCAGCAGCTTTCGCGGGTTTTCATCTCTTCAAAAGCAGGCGGGGAACGTGCTAATCATTGCCATCAGCCCTGGCTGCTCAGGGCTTTGCTCTTCTGGGAGGATTTCCCTTGGGGTTGCTGTGACTCAGCTCCTGTTTCCCCCACCCTCTGACTCAAAGATTTCAACGTACTACACTCACTAACAGCGTGGCAGAGACTGGTGCTTCCCTTGAGCCGGCAGGTCCAGGTTCCTCACCAATTCCTTAGAGGGGCAGAGCAGAAGCAGCCCCAAGTCCCTGCAGCTCTGTCCCAGTTTGCTGTTTGCAGCCAGGACGGGGCACAGCAGGTCTGTGGTAGGAGAGCAGGTGAGGGGGCACAGCAACGTTTAGGATATGCAGGCAGGGCTATTTTTGAAACGCAGATTTCCTGAAACTTCTAAGAAGTGGAAGTGATTAAACCCCAAGAGCAGGTTTCGCAGCTTAACTGGGACGTGAAACTTCTCGTTTATAGGTCTGTGCCACAAACAGCTCATCACTGCCACTATGACATCTTCAAGCTCTGCCCAGCATCCAGCAGCTGAGGATGCCTGCAGAATCACTCTTGGACAAGCTAACCAGGTAATTATCTCCCCTACTTACCTTCATTGCTTTCCTCTCACTAAAACTCCCACTTCTTCCATCAAATCGAAGCTTTTTAATGCCGTTTAAGTAAGAAGAGCTTAGCCTGATGGAGTAGGGCTTTTATCCTGAAGATTTCTGTTGCTTTGACTACCAGATCAGAGATTTAGGAGTATTTTCAAGGGCAGAAAAATAGACAAAGCAGTTAACGTGGGCTGTACAAGCAGTGGCATGATGCACGTTTTCATGCAGGACCTGCACTTAGAAAAATTCTCTGTAGAACATTTCTCCTAGTGCTAGACTATGTGACAGTGGTGTTGGAGCATCGTAACGGTGCTGTGTTGAACTTTGCTCAGGCAGCAAGGCATCCCCAGGCCTTTTTTGGAGTTGCTTAGGTAAGTGGCAAGCACAGCACCCGTCCTTATTGCCTATTCTTAGAGCAGCCCTGGAACAAAAAGGTAGCTGAAGCTTCAAGCCAAGGCCAACGGGCAAGCGCATGGTTTGGGGTGTGGGAGCCTGGCTCTGACCTGGTATGTTGGCAGCCCAAAGAAATATTTGTAGTGTAAACAGTGGCTAGAGAAAGCTGGTCTAAAGCGAGGTGTTTCTCCAAGACTGGCATCCCACCTGCCAGAGCCACTTCATTGGGAAAAAAAACTGTCTCTACAATATGAAAGGAGGGGGCAGGAATGAAAATGAGCTGAGAGGAAGTTAGATCTTCCCATTTGAGGCTTAATTTAGGAGTTTTGAAACATAGCCAAGTCCTGGGCAGAATTCATATGTATGAATATTTATTCCAATCAGTGCTCAAAAAACTACATAAATAGGCTGGGGTATTATTACCAAAATATTGATTGTCAACACTCAGTTTCCAGACTAACGCTTTGATTTTGGCTGTACTGTGATTAATGAGGGCCCCTTCTAAACGGATCAAGCGAACTGGGTTATTTCTTTAATAAGAAAGATATGAAGAGTTATTTCAAAATCTATTTGAGACTGGTCATTAGAGAAATGAATGAATGCAAATACATAATTTCATCTTATTGAAAACTAAGTGCTGATACGTGCAATTACTTGTGTTGTGCTCAGCTTTTTCCTGGTGAAGAAGCTGTCTTAGAAAGACTTGTGGCTGGACATGAGTTGCACTGAGCTTGAAAATGCATCCAACAGTTACAGTAATGAGAAAACAGACCAGATGCACTCACAGCAGAAATGAAGTTGTACGATGTTTAAACGGTGGAACAAATGCTTTGCCAATATCACCTTCGATAGCTGAGGGACAAATTAATTTGCACCCAAACCCCTCCTCTCCTTACCTTCTGCAGGACAATGGTGGTGCAGCTAGAGCTGGCTGTTGAGGAAATAAATGCAGGGCTGTAAGCAGACTGTTGGCATCAGGCAGGAAAGGTGTTAGAGTTGCATTTATAAAGGCAGAAAGGAGGGGTGTGTGCATGAGGCCCACCTCACACTGATCGCTAAAGTCCTTTACTAGCAGAAATTACATGCCTTGAGAGCTTAGGTCTTGTCAAAGTGTAGGGGAAACAGCAACGAACATCGTGTGCTGAGGGTTGGACGTTCTGCCCAGTGCCAGATTGAAACATCTCGCTGTGTTAGCATCTGGGAGACAAAGGAGAGCAGAGCAAGAGGTTGAGTGTGGGAAACGTACGCATTAGCATACAATATTGTACACAATGACGTGGCATTCAGCTTCCAGGCAGAACAGTGAGGGCTTTCTGACATTTTGTAGGAACACAAGGCGTGGATCCAGGGGGTGATGCTCTCCTAAGAATTGTTAGAATTCTTGTGGAGTAGATGAAGTAGTGGTGCGGGGGAAGGAGCTATTTAAAACTTGCTGTTTTGCATAGCATCATCTGTCTCCTCTGCTACTCAAAGTGGCTGGGGTGTGTGGGTGAAACCTAAAGAGGTGGTGGTGCAGTTGCATTGTTCCTAGGATTCTTTGAATTTCGTGTAGTAAAGGTTTTGGTTGATGATTGAGGGCCACAGAACATACACGTCCTGGTCCTTGGTGTTAATTAACCGTCCGTGCTCCTGAATGTGTGACTCAGTGCTTTGGTTAGTCACTGCCCAGGCCTCCATACCATGGGTCTGAGTTTCCGATCTTTCCTCACATGATGAATGACATCAAAGTTAATTGGACAATGGGAGTGATTAAAGCCTTTGGAGCAGTCTGCCCAAATTCCAGAGCTTTTTTTTTTTTGTCTTGCACTTGAGTCAGAATGATTGTGCTGATTTCCAGTCCTTCTAACTTCTTTTTTTAAGCATTGTCCATGCAGATGACTTGTAAAAGAGTACCAGCCCTCAGCAAATTAGCCTGAGGCAAGCGGTGTTTCCCATGATCTCCAATTCATCCCCCAGTTGTTATTTCTGGGCTTGGTGTGCCAAACTTCCACAGGTTTAGCAACTTGGGCTTGTGAGCTGTGGTAGGCAGGCATGCCAGGGCAACGTGCTTTCTCTCAGGGCACTGCTGCTTCTCCTTCTAATAAAAATCCCTGCTTCGTGTTTTAGGTGCGACCCAAACTGCCACTTCTGAAGATTCTGCAGGCTGCAGGTGCCCAAGGAGAAACCTTCACGCTGAAAGAGGTGGGCTCAGTTTCTAGGCACTGAAACTCTGCCTGTCCCTGGTCACTTGGCAGATGGCCCTTGGTGGGGAAGGGCTGGGGCTGGCTCTTGATTCTTCTGTGCTTGGAAGCCCTACTTGCAAAACAGGGATACCACACCCGGAGGGCTGCTGCGATTTGATTGATCGTTAATTGTCCTGAGAGCCTTTGAAGGAATTGGGAATGGAGTGTGAAATAAAATCAAAAACCTCTTTAAAGAGAGGAAAGATGGGATAGATAGTCACATACCTGAGAGGGCGTAGGATTCAATTGTCTTGCTGTCTGCTCAGTGCATGAAAGCCTTAAAAATTGGATTCTAGTTGATATTTTTCTTTTAAGTTTTCTTTGAAATAGCTTGTCAGCTAAACCTGAGAGACCCTGTGAATTCATTTATTTTAAGATTAAAATGCAATATATGTACAAGATTAAAAAAATGACACCGACTGTGATTTACAAGAGTAGCCTGTCTGCAAAGAATTAAATGCAGTGGTTTTTCATTATGAATGTGTCAAATATTCCTGCAGAGCCCTGTGACTTATTTTAAACACTTATGCATTTAAATAACTTATTTAGCTTCTAAAAAGTTTTGGAAAAACAAATTGAATGGTTTAAATGGGGGGAGTTGAGTATTAAATGCATGTTGCTCGTATGGATTAACATTTTAACTCCACTAAGTCAGTTTTTCTGCAGTGAATGGCATCCTGTTAGCATAATTTTGGTGGCATTTGCTGTCATTCAGGAGGTCACTTTGGTGGGTAATGGGGGATGGATCCTTGCCTATATTGTGCTTAACTTTTTTCACCTTTTTTTCTTCTTGTCCTGTGGATTCCTCACTGTAACTGGTAGTGTCTGGTAGCTCTCACAGGATGTTTTCTCTCCATGCTTTGTGATACTGATGCTCGCGTTTTTGCATCTTGCAAGCTGTCTCCTCAGAAATGACACTGCAATTGTGGCCATCCTTTAGTAGCAGCTTATACAGCTTTGAGCTGGTGATACCTTCTGCCTCCTCCCCATGCCATTTCATTCTCTTTACTCTGAGCTGTTATATTGTTCCTGCTCCCATTTCAAAGAGTGGACCTTGAATGATTTGCTACCATTCTTTCAGGGTTTTCTGTTCCAGGGACAGTTCTTGGTAAGGTTGATGTGAACCTTACAGGCTCCATCCAGAGCTGTCACTGAGGGAGACGTCCCAGATAACATGATGTGTTTTTTTAGTGTGGAATAGTAGAGTGACTCCTGTTTATCCATTTTCAGCTCAGTTTTCTCTCCTGTCAAGGGTTAGTAATTATAAACCTTACAGCAGTGTGTTAAAGCATAATTCTCCCTTAGTTGTGAGGCACTGATGGATGCCAGAAATGCAGAATTAGCAGGTACTGTTTGACTGACACTATGTAAGGAGGCAAGTAGCATAAACTAAAACAAACTTCCAGGGCCTTTGGTGGTTTGGTTTCAGCTGCAGACGTGGCTCATGGTATGTTCTGTGTCCACAGGTTATGCATCACCTAGGACAGTATATAATGGTGAAGCAGCTGTATGACAAAAGACAGCAACACATGGTGTACTGTGGAGGAGATCAGCTGGGAGAACTGCTGGGGCTGGAGAGCTTCTCTGTAAAAGATCCAAGGTAAGAAAAAGTGGCTGTTAACGTGATGTCTCTCAGAGATTGCTGAGTCAGGAGACCCTTGGTGTCACTGTTCCCACTTACAGTCACATAAGCCTCCGTGAATGCCAGTGACTTTTGGCTAGTTGATTTGACAAGTTCAAGTTCAGCTCCTTTGTTTTGAAGAGCCAGTTCTGAATGGTCCAGACAGCTGCTTGAAGTGACATCTCCTCCACCCTTTTATTTCTGTGTCTTCTCAGACAGTTGGTTTCAGACTCATGCTAAAGGCTGCACCCCTCAGTTTCTGAGCTAGACTTCTCTGTAGCAAGCATTTAGCTAAAGAGTGGCAAAAATTGCCCTGCAGATTCCAGCATTTCTCTGCATAATAAACTATCTCCTTCTTTTTCAACAGCCCAGTCTATGAAATGTTGAAACGGAACCTGACTTCTGCTGCAATGACAGGTAGGTTTGTCACGGTATGGACAGCTATATTCAATATAGTGTTGATGTAACTTGGGTAAGTAATGATATTCAGAAAAGATGTGTTTCTGAAGTTGGAACAAGCTGCTAATGAAGGCTTTGACAAGACAATCTCTTTGAGTATGTGTCTTTTTTTGTGTGTGCACCATCAGTAGCTGTGGTATGAAATCAGTTAGCTGGTTGAGTAATACAGCTGCCTGCAACCAGTGGCCAAGCCTTAGAATGGCAGACAGACTAAATATTGCGGATGTACAAATCATCGTGGCTGAAGTGTCTCGTCCAAATGGTTATTGATTTCTCAGTCTTCTTGCAGTTTCATAGCATTCTGTGACTTCTCTTACCTCATTTTATGCTTTCATAGTCTTGAGAGTGAATGTAAAGAGTGCCGGAAACCTAACCTAGTTCTGCAATCCAAAGAGGTCTGGACTTTAATGAAACACTTGAACCTTTAAAGGTTGCTATTAGTTTTTCAGCTCATGAGAGAAATTATCTACATCAAAAGTCCTTCAGTCATAAGTTAAAATCTGTTCTTAACTTAATGTCAGCTGATGGCTCCCTTGCAGCCAGTTCCCACTGTACAGCTGGTCATCTTCATGTGAAAATAAACATCTCTTGAAAGCACAAATGTGCAAATCATGAGTGAACTATACCAGGGAATTTGTGCAGCCTCGTGTCATTCTTCCTGGGGTCTCCAGGCAGATAATATGGGCTTACTTTTTCCTAAGTGCTTAGCCTGTTTGTGCAGACAGACATAAACACTAGTTCAAATTTAGAAACTGAGAAAACATGGCCCTAAACTGTTCATGTGTCTGCTTTAAGCCATATATTAGCACCTCTGAGGTTCCCCTCCGTTCCCTGTTTATACAAAAGAACCTTCCTAAGCAGACTGTCTAAACACGTAGCTGCAGATTTACTGTGTGAGTGCAGTTTCCCTTGCTGGTGGTACCCTGGCCTTTTCCGTGTAGGCAGTGTAGGTGGAGAGCAACGGATTTCGGCAGAATGCTCTCCTCTGCTGCCCTGTTCCCTTCCACTTGGTGTGTGCGTGTGGCCCTGCACGTGTGGCTGTGTGTGTGTGTGTGCTCCAGTCGTGGTGTCACTATTTCTAATCGTGCCAAAGGAAGTACTGTTCCTTTAGTGAGATGGCCATTGAGTTTTTCTACCATGTGTGCCTGTGTGTGTGTGACCATGAAACGAAACAGGTTTGGCAGACCAGGCCTTTGGCAAATATGTAGGAAGGATGACTCCTGGTATTGTTTTTCCTTTGTTGCAATATATCAGTAGCTGAAGGTGCTGCAGGGCATAGAGGCCATTCTGTTTCATGTTGTGCAATAGCCACTTGTGTTCATTAGCCAAACCAGTGCTTGTCAGAACATCACTTTGCAGATTATCCTGCCCGCTTCAAGTACACTTGTAGAAAGAAAAGTGACTGCAGTACATCTTGATAACGAAGATTAAGCTCTTACATAATGCTTTTTATCAGATGGTGTCCTTACATGGCAAACTTTCACTCTTAGTATGAATCACATGAGGAGGTTTCAGGAATACCTACTTCTCCTTAAGGGCATTTTACGTTCAGTTCCTGATAATATGTGGGCTTCAAAGAAAGCCTTCCAGTAAGTGGAGTGTATTTTCTTAGTGTTTAAGACTAGTACGTGTCACTTGTGAATTGTTAGAAGGGCAGTTCTTCAGCTCTTCTAATGCCACTGCGGAGACAAAGCAGTGATGGATGAGCCAGTTGGCTTCTGCTTTCCTTCAGGTATCAAATAATTAGTGACTACAGAAGCTGTATGCTGAGGGAAGGGAACAAAAGAAAGCTGAACTAATGCGTGGAAGGCAAAAAATGTGGGATAGAACCATGTCATTTTGTGGTCCTGTGCTCATCACTTTATGGTCCACTTTTCTGCCTACAGGGGTAGTTTTCAGTGCTTTTGTATCAGTGCCGTGATTCATGATGTGAATCAGATTCTTCATATCTCCTTGGCATTCTGCAGGGAATTTTTAAACTGAAATGGGAGAAAGCAGGAGCCATCCTTGCATCTTTTGTTTTCTAGCAAGTCATCCTATTCAGAGAGTGAATTCCTAAATACAGCTCTTCTAGTAGAAGATTTTGTTGATTGTTCTAACTGTTTAGGTTGGCCTTTTATTAACTTGTGGGGCCAGCATAATTGTCTGGATCAAACTGTAGTATGGCTATATACTCAGTTACCCAGGAAAGAGCCTGCTGTGCATGGAATTCTTAATCTAGTTCCTGTTCTGGATGCCCACACCCTTCAGAAGGATGCCTCTCTAAGCAAGTACCAAAAGCAGTAATATTCTCAGATATTTGTAAGAACCTTACTTTTTCTGTTCACCTTCTTCAGTGTAGATCTGGTCCAGCCTTGAAGTTCCCACCCTCTGCTGTTGCTCTGGGTTTCTGCTTCCATGCAGGCCTTGTGTGTATGAAGGACCTAGAGCTCACAGCCTGAGGACAGGCCATAGGAGACAGAAGAGTTTTTCACATTGGGAAGAAGGTTCTTAGATGCTGTAGTTCCATCAAGCTGCATTTGTGGGGAGGCACAGCTGTATTCCATAGGGTTTTGCCTCCATATGTGTCTAGCAAAACCCAAGGAATACTGGAGTGGTGCCTCTTTAGGAAGGAAATGGTCAGCTCTCTAAGAAAGAAAGGGCTCTGTTTCCTTAAAGGGTTACTTAGAGGTCTGCCAAGCCTGGCTCGTTGGTTGCTTGCTGAAGACCCTCTGTGTTGTGAGAATGGTTATTACCAGGGAAGGTTTTTTCTTTTGTTTTACCTGCTATCTAGATGCTGCACAGAATCTCGCAAAGGAACAGAGCGTCGATAAGCCAAGCCAAGACCAGCTGAAGGTAAACCCACTGCCTGGTGGTTTCTTTTGTTGTACAGAGTGCCCCTTCTCTGTACCTGTGCATGGTGGACTGCCAGAACTTTGTGCTGCTTGGCTGCCAGGTCCTCACCTTCCTGAAAGTTCTTGGAGTCCACAGAGCAGGGACAGAGTGACCCTTCTCTGTTCTCATCATAACAGAGTACCAGTCTCTGAGCGCGTTTCTCTGGGGTGTAGCACTTCTAGTCCTCAGTTCCTCCAGCGTGCTCTGTCTTTTCACGTCTTTCCCCCTCTCTCTCGTCCCCTCTCTGAGTAGGAATTGCCAAATAGTTAAAGTTTCTAAAAAGTGTGAATAGGTTTTGTGTTTAATAGGATTGTTTTTGAAGCTTTCAGGCAGAATCTGAAACCTAGGAAAAATCTTAATGTATTCTAACTTCTCTCAGGTGTATTTTGGGGTTAAGGTAATTGGTCTGGGAGGGGGCCAGAGAGTCATGAAGATCACAGTATTTCATTTAAGATGGCAGCTTTTGGATTTTTGCCAGTCTTAAGATTTTTCCTGGGTTGCAAGTACATTGTTTGTGCTGATTACAGATGCATTAGCCTTCCTAAAGAGTTAACAGTGTGTATAGCTGTTGTTCAGAAACTCCTGTTTCTCTTCATGCCTTTTTGGTGTTGTACTGCAGCTGGTGACTCGGAATGGAAGTGCTACATCCCCTTGTCCCTATAAGCTCTGGTGGACTAACATCTGTTTTTTCCTTCCTTCATGCAGTTTAGCCCGCAAGAAGTTTCTGACACTGTCATCAGAGAAGGTGAAAGCAATACATCTGCTTTGTCTACCTCAGAGCACAAATGTGAGAATTATGGAGGTGAGTGCCAGCTTTTCTGTGGTGACAGTGTGTGCAAGCACTTCTTCCCCAGTGTGACACCTTGAGCTTTGCATCAGGCAGCTGCTGGAGGAGGGTGTTGGGAGACTAATAAAAACTTGTGAAATGCAATCTTTAAAACTCATCATTTTATGGCAAAGATTGAGAGAACTGCAAATGTCTGTCGAAGGTATTTCATGATAGACTTGTTTTCTAGCTTGGATATTTGGTCTCATAAACAAACAAACACTGAATAAAATGGCAGGTTAAGCCCCAAAAGCACATCTATCACTAAACAATGCCATCAACAATCTTACAGACCTTGCTGAAGGGTATTTTAAATGCCGAAATTATACTCGTATCTATTTATCTTCCCAGGGGACTCTCTCCTCTGATTACATAGAACACAGCCTGAGCTGTCTGCAGTCATTACCTGCAAACCAATCAGGAATCTGAATAACAATGGGATTTTTTTTTCCTGCCCACTTTAAGTATCATACAGCTCCTTCATATTTAGACATTTCCTTTGTTTTAATGTCTGGGGATTTCTTGCTGGTTCACTCAAGGATTTCTGATGTTACAGAAACAATTTTCCTGTTTTTCCACCTTCTCCTCTCAGATTATTCGTGTATCAAGGAAACTAATTTGTAAACCTAAATCATCTTTGCAAGCGTGCATATTTCTGGATAAAATGGGAGCAGTAAATATTTTCTTGGCTGCATGTACAGAGGAGGCAGAAACAGTCCTTGTCGGTGCCTTTTGAAGCTCTCAGAACTGAGGAGAGATGGATTCAAGGTTATCTCGAAGCTCAAACCTCTGAGTTGAGGATCGTAGACTAAACTGCACTGGCTAAAAAGGAGGAGGCTGAAGCAGGGGGCTATGAAGAATAGATTTTTACCTTTCTGATTTGTATTTTGAGCTGGTTTGGGAATTCAGGAGCTCCCATCATTTGAAATCTGAACCAAATTCAAATCAGTCTTTTCTACATATTAAGCATTCAGGAATTTTCTCTGTGTTGACTTGGATAGAGTTCTGAAAGAAGTGTTCATGTTTGTGTATTGAGCCTTAAAATTAAGGTAACGCTAAAGAGAAACGTGTACAGTTACAGAGACACTGGGAGCTTGGGGATGCTTCTTTGACCTCTCATGGCTGTGTGGTGACTATTTTGGCAGGTTTGCTTGGGTAGATACACTGGCACAGACGTGCAGCAGATCTGACATCTCAGTACGCTTACACGAACCTCAAAGCTGTTAGCAGTATCTCTGGCTTTCAGATAGAGCACGGAAGATTTCTCAAATCAGATGGGGCCAAACTTTTCTCTGCTAGTCTCTTAAATGATGTAGGTGTGGCGTGACTTAGATTCTACTTGGCTCTTACAGACAAAGACTTAATAGAAAACCTCTCTAAAAGCAAGAAGCCTAAACTGGACCTAGTGTTTGAGGAATGGGATGTAGCTGGTCTTCCATGGTGGTTTTTAGGCAACCTCAGAAGCAATTACAAGTCCAGAAGTAATGGATCAACAGATATTCAGACTAACCAGGTGTGTAGACATTTTAAAGAGGTGAACTGTATTCTCTTCCTCTCCTCTTTCGTGTTCCAAGTAAATAATAAATTCTTGTTCCTTCTCTTCCCTTCCCACATCCCTTCAGGACTTTCAGCCTCTCCTTTCTGTGTTCCTGTCCCAGCCTTTCACATCAGGTGGTTGGTTACCTTTAGTGTTGTTAAATAAACTAGGCAATCTGTTATCCACTGGAGGTCCTTCTGCACTCCAGAGCACTGGTTGTATTGCAGGAGCTGCCCTTCTTCTGGGTGGAAAGTTGTTACGCAGTGCAGATGATGGTAGCGTGGTGGCCAGCTGCTGTATGGCCAGCTAGCAAGGGGAACGAGCACAGTGCTGCTGCCAAAAAAGGGGTGGTTTATTTGAGAGTAGTGATCTGTCCCTTTTTCTCCTAGGGGTGACTGGAGAAGCTGACCAGGGCTGAGAAGGCTGTTAGTGAGGAAAAAGGGCGAGGTGTTCACTGGCTGTGGCTGCAGTGCTGGTACTCCTGCTGCTGATACCCTGAGCTCTAAGTGGTCTCTCTCGTTTCTTCTCCAACAGGACATAGACACTGCCATTGTTTCAGATACTACTGATGACTTGTGGTTCCTCAACGAAAGTCCGTCGGATCAGACCAGTGCTGCAGTCAAAGTGGAAACAGCTGACTGCGAGGAAGTGAAAGAAGATGACAAAAAGGTACCTTTCCAAACAGCCACAGTACACGTGTTCCACTGGTTGGCCTCGTTTAAGCGATTGCATGCAAAAAAAAATCCTTTTTATCATGAAAATCCCTTGCTTTTTGTCTGTCTTCTGGTGTTACATTGACTTGAAAGGAGCTAGATTTGTAATCATCCAGAGTTTAAATTGTGTTTAGAAAAGGCTGTCACCATTCTGTACATGATGTGATAGCTTTCCCTTGTAGTTAGTCTGTTTTTTTCTCAAACGTGCATTTTCAAGGCACACAATTAATTTAAAATTACTTAAAATTGTGGCACCAACTCTACTAAATTTGTGGCCAGTATTTCAAATCTAATTTTTTTTAAAAAAGGAAGAAAATCTCAGCTTACGTTATGCTAATGTTTTGTATAAGATAAGCTTCTTGCCTGAATCTGCTAGCTGAGCTGGTAGTAACACTAGTCACAAGAAAAATTAATCAGATTTATGTTTAAATGATTGAATTCATGTTTTCTTCCACGGAATTTAGTAGGAACACTCAGGTGTATATGCTTGCATTTGTATGATTTTTGTGTACATCAGAGAGAGAGATAAATCGATCACAGGAAAATACAACTGTAAAGCAGCTCAGCAACAGTTATCAACAATGTTCTGGAATAGATACAGTACATAAAACGGCTTTCCATTCACTTCTCTAAATGGATTAATTCTCATGGTGATTATGGTGTTATTTTAGTTTTGCTCTACTGTGCCAGGCACATCATAAACACAGATCCGTGCCGCAATTCTGACAGCATATCTGCTTTTCCCAGGTGACTGAGGATGCATGTTTGCATGACTTGGAGGATTCTCAGTGCTTAAGCGATGACACGGACACAGAAGCTGCAGCCTCTGAGGTAGGCATCCTTTAGGTCAGCGTTCCTTGCCTGGAGTATGCTGCAGCCCTAGCTGTAGTTAGAAAACCTCATCTTACAGCTCCTGGTTGTGGTAAGAGAATCTGGTTCATACTCGAAAAACTTGTCAGTGCAAATATCTGAGTCAGAATCAGCATTCCACTGAGTCCTGGACATCCAGGCAGGCTAGGAAGCTGTCTGTTGCTTCATTGTGGTCTTTGCCATGAGGAGAGGATCCACACCCCACCTCACCCCTTTTTTTTCTTTTCTTTCTCAAACAATTTGTATGGCCAAATCAGGAGGAGAGTCTTTTGAGTCTTGTTTTAAGTCAGCAAACATGTCATGATAATTTTTGTAGCTGGTGACACCAACATTTTCCAGCATTATTTTCTGGTCTGTGTATGCTCAATGAATTGGGATGTCCCTAGCACTGGGCAGCTGAAACATAGCTCTGATCTTGGGCAGCTCTTGCACTTGTTTTGTGGGATAAACAAATACGCAGCTATAAGTTTTGCGGGTTCATCAGGTGCTAAATGATTAATGAGTCTGGGAGATATATTCCTAACTGATTGCAGGAGCTCTACCCTTGAATTTAGGGTGAGATACTGAAGATTCAATAAACTGCACAGCTTGAGAACGTTGTATTCTTGCAGAGTGGTGGAGGCTGGGAGAAGGGCAGTAAAATATTCCTTAGGCTTTCTGAGGTGTGGAAAATCAAAGTAGCATCCATGCATTTGCAAGCCTCGGTTATAATGTCCTCTTTTGTTGAAGCTCCTTTTCTGCTTTTCCTATGCTGGCGAAAAGAATTGTATGCAATATCACACTAACTTGCTGCTGTTTTTGTCTGCCTCAATCGTTCTTCAGGACTGCTGGCAATGCACCAAATGCAAGAAATTTAACTCTCCAGGCAAACGGTACTGTTACCGCTGCTGGGCCCTACGGAAGGACTGGTACTCAGATTGTCCCAAACTGGCTCATTCTCTTTCTCTGTCCAACATTGATGCTATGCAAAACAAAAACGAGGATGAAGGGATAGATGTCCCGGACTGCCGAAGGACTATTTCTGCTCCAGTTGGCCAACCTAAAGACATGTTCGTGGTAGAAAACAAATTACACGTAGATCCCTGCAGCTCTATTGAGTCTTTGGATTTGGCACGAGAATGTGAAAGCAGAGAGTCCCTGTTGCATTTCACTGAACGTAAAACGGAGGAAGAAATACAGTCTCTAGAAAGCATAAAAAAATTACTGAATCCTTGCTTCTTATGCCATCACAGACCACGGGATGGGAATATTGTCCATGGAAGGACTGCTCACCTTGTGGCCTGTTTCAAGTGTGCAAAGATGTTGAAGAAAAAGAGATCACCTTGTCCAGTGTGCAGGAAAGAGATTGAGATGGTGATCAGAATCTTTATGGGATAGCTGAACCAGTTCAGGCCTTCTCTATCAAAAGATAGCACGCTGATTCTCTTGCACTCTACACAAACCCTAACTTCAGAGATCATCAGGTGAACACCAAAGAGAATTAAGATTCCGAACTGCCCATGAATCATCTGCATCAAATGAAGTAGCATCTTTTTTTTTTTGTCTGTTTTAATGAAACCCTGTAGGGAGCACGCAATAACCAGCATGTTGGTATCAATACCCTAGTTTTTAATGGCTTACTATGATTCTCTGTTCTGACAACTGGTCCTTGTAGGAAGCAAGTTTTGGAGAGAGTTATGACTTTGGCTGTTGGAGTGTTCTCCAGGAAGTCAAACCCTGTGCAATGCTTTTTAAGGGAGGAGTCTGGAGCTGACAAATAATATATGCAGAGTGGGTGGGGTGGGAAGATGGGAGGGGAGGGGAGGTGAAGAGGGTTCTAATTTAGAGAAGCCATTTCTCCAAGGATCAGTTCTCTTGAAGGCAATGAGAAGCAAATAATCATGTATCTTAATAAGATGTTTTTTGTTTTTGTGTTGTGTGTGTTTGTTAACTGAGGTCCTTTTGTTTCCAGACTTGAAATGAGCAGTGTCAATCTATAGCTATCTCAGGTTACATACCAGTTGGGAGTCAAGTAAGATGTTATACTGTGCCGTGTTGTTGGATTTTTTTCACTTGTATTGATTCTTTTTTCATTTCAGTACAGTTCTATGTCAGCTGTTGTTGCTTTGTTGAAGCCTGTCCAGTGTTAGCTCAGAATCTGGCGTGCCAGCTGGGTTAAATTATAATAGCTCTTTATCACAGCGCCCGTTGCAGCTTCCCCAGCTGCAGCTTCCACCATTGCTGCATTTCATCAGGCCAGTCTAGAAGATGCTCGCTCTGTGTGATGTGGCTTTACAGACAGGGTATGGGCCTTTGAGGGGGGAAAAAGTCCTGCAATGCACTGTCTATGGACTGTGCTTGGTGTTAATTTTTGAATGCTCTCCAACGATGTCCTTTCCCAGTGATTTAATGCCTCAGATCCGTTTCAGCATTTATGTTGTTCTCCGAAGTTGTCTATGGTTAGTGTACTTGTTGTTAAAGCTCACGTAGAACTTCAAAAAGGGCTATATGTTCTTAAGCTATGAGCTCATGCACTAGAAGTGTACTCAGCTCCTCCTCAGCCGACTGACTTTGCGAGGGTTTCTGCTCAGAGTATTCCCCCAAGGAGAGGAGCTGTGTTCTTCACGTGTGGAAGGCAGGTAGATGCACCCCTAAATCAGGGGTGAATTATAGGAGTGTAAAGCCTTGGGGCTCCCAGAGAATTTCCTGCAGCCACCTTGGATGCCCTGAGATCCCTGGCTAACCGGGCAGCCCTCCTCCACGCTTCTTCCAGCTTTCCCTTCTGGATTCTGGACAGCGCCGAGGAGTTTGTGGAGCCAGTGGGAGAAGACAGCGCTGTGGGAGCATGCATTAAGCATTATTTCTGTTAGTTTTCTAGGTCCTTATTTATTTTAAACATCAGGTTAGTGAGTAGTCTTGCCATCCATTTAGTCTGGAGTTCACAATGGAGAGCCAGAGAGGCGAGGGAAGGCAGTTCTTGGCATGTTCTCCAGGGCTTTGGAGAGCCTGCGTCCGGCAGCAAGAGTGCCTTCACCTCTCTTCAGTATACAGGTGTGTGAATTCAGTACATTGTTTAGGATATAGCCTGTTTTGTCATCGTCTGTACAGTTCCCTTTCTGATCTAGGGAGTGCTCCACTCCTGGTTAAAGATAAGAAAGAAAAAAAAAAAAGAAAAAATGAAAAAAAAAAAAAAGACAGGGAAAAAAAAGATAGTGCTTAGACCTTGGTGCTTCTCTTGGCTCTTTCCACCTTGTTTCCTACACTCCTTCTGCTGGTCCAGCCCTCACAGGTCAGGTGTGCAATGAAAGCCCCAAAACCTGCCTGGCAGAAAGTCCCAGCAGTCTCCCATGTCCAAGTTGTTGTTTTTTATTGTGCAAAGATACTGGAGTAGGTGCTATCTGCAGTCACTGCCTATCACTGCCAAAAGTCAGGTCGCTCGTGTGTTTTGCGTTGTGTTGTGATTTTTTCTACACCAGCTGTTATTTAGGTTGTTGTTGTTGGCTGTTCTTTACAGTTCTCTTGTAAAAATCGGGGGATAACCTTCTGTTTGCTGCACTATCCGTACGTACGTGGGAGTGGATCCGTGTGGAAAAGATTTACTTTTTGCTCCCCTAACTGAAGGGCTCTTAAATTGCAGGTGATGCACTTTAATCATGCGAAGCTCAGTGGTGTTATCTCCTCGAATCACAGAAGGGAGTTCCTGCCAGGTAGTTGCTTCCACTTTCAGGTAGTTGCTTCCCGTTTAGGAGCATGGGTTCAGGCAGCGTGCATTGTGGCACTTCTGGATACTGTGAATCTCCCCTCACCCCAATTGCTTCTAAAAACAAAAACATTTTGCTCAAAGCAGTCGTACTGAATTGTTCAGCTCTGGCTGCACTGAAAAGCTTGTAATTTGTGTTGACCAAAAAAATGTACGGAGAGTTTAGGCTGCTGTAAGGGGTTGAATATTCGTACCAAAATCCTACTGAGATCTGTATGCAGCTTCCATTGTTAAATGAAAATTGCTGTTGTGATAAAATCCAAATCCGCAGGATGCGTTTTGGGGTAACGACCTTCTTATCTGTGACTTCTTGTTGAGTAGAACCACGGTGTTTACAACATGCATTTGACAAGTTCTTTATTCTTTTGAACTGAAATAGCAGTCGTCATGTCTCACAATGTTACAGTTGATCATGCTTTTATAGAAGAATAAGCTATTGCGGCACAAGCACCTCGTGGTGAGATGTAACTGCCCACCTTGTGGCTATGCTCTGGGGCGGGGGGGGGGCGGGTGGTGAGGGAAAAGGAGGGAAGAAGTACATTTTATTGCTTTAAGTATAAGGCTTAAAAAAATAATTCAGCAGGAGCTGCTGTTTGTTGTTTTTGTTTTTTTTTCTTTTTTTTGACACTTTTGAGGAAGTGCAGGCTTGAGGTGTGAGTTGAAGAACTATCTCAAAGCACTTGGTCATGATATTCAATGCCGTGAGCTGTCAGCCCGGCAGTGCTACTGATTTCCTCTTCTACAGATGCCACAGCTGATGTGGGCTCTGTTCAGAACTGCGTTTTGTTGGAGCTCAGCATCTCCCTGAGATGGGTGTGAACTCAAGTTCTCTGACTACAGCCTTGCTGTCTCATCACTCCTGGCAGTTTGTCTCTCGGTGAGGTTTTACTATGAAGTGCAATATGGCAGAAGTGGTCCTCGGGCAAGCATTAGCAGGCATTGCTGCGTGTCTGCTGGAAGCGTGGAGCACAGCTGTCCTGTGACTGTCAGATTAGAAAGGTCTCTGCTTCCCTGCTCCTTTCTCCAGTGACGTTGGTTGCTGCTCCTCAGGAACCTGCTGAAGTCTCCCCAGTGTGAGCGCGCCCAAAGTCTGGACTTCATCCACAGATACCTCCGCTTTTCACTCAGAACCGTTTAGCCCTAGAGCCACCAAACTTCTTACTTGGATGTTGAAACAGAACATGGGAACCATAAGCCTCTCAGCTGTACACTGCCGCTCAGCACATTACAGTGCTCTTCGTTGCAAAACACTGCACATCATTTGCCTTCATCCCGTTTTGGCAGCCAGAGGTACCCACACAACACTCACTGCATTCGCTCCTGCAAGTCTTTCCAGTTTAAGTGCCTCTTCGCAGTTACTCCCAGTGACTGTTATTTGCTGATGCGCCCAGTATATCAGCTTTTGCTTCAGCTGTCTGTTCAAACACCTGTGTCCATCCTCTGCTGAGCTGTATCACGGAGCCAAATTTAGCCTCACCAAAGCTGCTACGTGAATTCGAGAGCCTTTGGAGCAGCCCCCAGAGTGCTTCTGAATGCTGGGTGTTTCATTGAAGACTGTTGCAAACTTTCTGCTTCTGTGCGTTATTTATTACGGTGCATGGCTGTGATGGAACCCGTGGTGCAGCTCGCCAGGGTCCTCCATCCAGCAGTGATATTGTATTTGCTACTGAGAAGCTGTCCTTGCAGGACAAAAGTGGCTGTTGACAAATGGAAATGGCCTGAAAACCGAGTTTCAAAACCCACCAGGGTAGCTTGCAGTTGCCTGCTCACTCTTTGCCTGTTCTGAGCTTCATCTTCCTCTCCTGGAAGAAGAGAAATGTTCTCATTAGAGGCCTTCAGTGGAGGCTGGCTGCTTCGGAAGACAGCACGATTTAATGGTTGAAGAAAGGACTCGGAGCCAGGGCTCCGCTCTCCATTCTGGCTGTACTCTTGCAGTGATGCATGAGGTGAGGAAGAAACTCCCCGAGTCCTGTGCATGCTCTGTTCAGCTGAACACCCGCAGGTCGTGTTGCAATCCTTGAAGAGGAGGCGCTGCGAGGCTGATCGTTCAAGGTCAAGGACACCCACAGGTAGTGTGAGGCTGATAAACACTGCGTGCTTGGAACAGCTCCAGAAACAGGTTGCCTCCAGGCAGCAGCTCTCCTGCTCTGAATATCCTTCGTTGGTTATCTGTCCAAAGTGGCTGGAATTTTCCTTCGCTGCTTAGCAAATCAGTGAGACCATGCCTGTAACCGCCTGGTGGTGTCTGGCCAGCGAAATCAGAACGGTCAGCAGCCCCAGGCTGGGTTACACACCTCAGCAACTTGCTTGCACTTGTTTATGATGAATACAGGCAGCTGTTATGATTGCAGTCTTGTTTTTATGTGCTATTACCGTGGTAATGTGCATTTGCTGCCCACACACACGCACGGACACCCTGTGCCTGCCACTCGGAGCAGGTGTAGGAATCCGTAGCTGCTGAACTCTGCAATTAGCTTCAGTCCCTTACTCCAAGCTGCCTTTGATGAGTCCGTGAAGATACCTAAGGTATGAACAAACATCTTTTACCTCTGGCCAAGCTAACAAAGACTTGCTCTTCTGGAAGGAATCTTTTCCTGCCCTGTCTCACTAGCACCCTTCCCCTGCAGCCCGCCGTTCCCGAGCCAGAATCTGGATCCAAACACCCACCCGCACAGCAACCCAATAACCAGTCTCTGTGTGTTTGCACTATTTAAAAAGGCACGTACATGTATCATGGACCTGATGACCTGTTTTTGTGTCCACAGCATAAGTCTAATTAAATGGATCGTGTTCTATGGCAATGTTGGGTTTATTTTTTCATTTGTACTGCGTTTCGGGGACAACTTTAAGTAAAGGCCTGTTACCAGTTACGTAGCCTGTGCTCTTTGTGTGCTTGCCTTCCCAGAGCCCTCCCCTCCCTCCCAGGATGTGTCTGCCTTGCAGCTGAGAGGGGAAGTTACGGTGCAAGTATTTGCCACTCCCGCTGAGGTTTGCAGATGCAGCATGACAACAGCCCAGGTTTCATCTGTGCCAGCCCCAACACCTACTTGCTGTCTTCAACCTGGAGCAGCTCCCCAGCCCCATTGCCACCAACACTTGCAGCTCCTCCAGCTTCCCAGAGGGTCGCCCACCCCATCACTTGCTTGTGTTAGTGCCGGGAGGTTGCTCAGCACCTCTCTGACAGTTTTTAAGCTGTTCACAGTGAGCATGGGATGAAGGCAGCCCTGGTGAAGGCAGCACGCCCCTGCTGCTCCCCAGCCAAGCCAGCTCGCTAGAGGGCACCCGGTGGCTGCTGATGCGGAGAGCTGGCTGCTGGCAGCCTCCTCACAGCTCTCCCTTCTTGCCTCTAGGTTTTATGTACCCAACCTTTAAGGCTGGCATAAGCAGGCTGAGCTGGGATTCAGCTTTCCTCGTTCTCCTGGTTTCTGGAGCTGCTCGGGGAGCAGCAGGCTGCGCGTAATCAGGAGGAAGACGGATGAGCTGCGCTGGAAAGCGGCACCGCGAACGCCCAGCGGTGATGGATCGCTGCTCGCTTGCCAAGGAGGAGCTGCTGCTCCATAACAAGCAGCATCCCGATGGGGGGAAACCAATACAACCCCACCTGTGGCAGCAGGAGAACCAGGGCTGCTCCCCCCATCCCTGCCACCAGGCAGGAGGCAGCGCTGGCCCTGGTTGTGCCCCTGTGGCTGCGTTTCTCCGAGCAGCTTCAGGCAGGGCTGGTGTCCAGCTTCACCTGCGGGCAGGCAGCTGGTTTGCACCCAGCAGCCGTTCCCAGCTCTGTCCTGCAGAAGCCACGAGGGCAGTAATTAGACTCGCTGCTAACCTCTGCCTCTGTTCCAGCCTGCGGGGAAGTTTCTGGCTCTGCCTCTGCAGCGTTTTGTCAGCGTAACCTTCCCCTGCACCCTGCCAGCAAAACCAGCCGGTCTCAGCGTGCTCCGAAGAGCAGGAGCTGCATGAAGCAGGTCGCACGGAGCAGAAGGTTAAAGCACTGCTGAAGCAATTCCCTTCCTGCTGCACGGTCCCAAATGGAAAAGGTGACGTGGTGCTGCCTTGGGCACTCGGGGCAGCAGAAGAGCAGAAGCCCCCCTCGAGAAGGAGCGATCACAGCTCTGCTTTCTTGGCCTTACAGCACTGGATCCATCTCCCAGTCCGCTCCCAGTTTGTGCCAGTAGGGCTGTGGGGACAGGCAGGAGCCCAGCTGGGGAAGCTGAGGGCAGGTACAAGGCGCTTTGCCTAACCAGGACGCGATCCTTGCCTGTGCAGGAGCTGTTTATGGATAAACGCGACAGATTGCTCTGGGTGCCTTTCCCCACGGTGTTTTACTTGTTTGTTTTTCAGCTTCCCCTGACTTCCCACTCCTCCAGCTGTCCCTGCAGCCTCCTTTGGGTTTTTTTGGTGGAACGCTCAGCACGCCTTGGCCTTCCTCTCCACCGCAGCTTGGAGTGAGGAGCTGGGCTCTGCTGGGATCTCCCTCTGTAGCTGCAGCCAGCCAGATGTTTTCACCAGGCTGCTGTGAGGAAGGAGGCTGCTCCAGAGCATCTGTGTCCGTCCTGTTTGCCAGGGGCTCTTTTGTGCTGGTGAGAGCCCCCAGCAAGGTGGAATTGCTTTGATTTAGTGCCATGGTGCTAAAAGCACCGTGAGCCCAGGAGCTGGAGGCATGGGGAGAGCCATGGCTTTGCCCCACTCTGTCCCTGCTCCCCGTGGGGCTCTGCGGGCACCCAGCCGCTCCCTGGGCTCCTACACCGCCACATCCCTTTTGTTTCTGCAAACCTAGAGCGGCCTCGCTGTGATTTTCCTTTGTAGCCCCCTTTAAGGACGCTAGGCAAGGGCAGAGTCTGGCTCTGGGGTGGCGTAAAGCCAGGGCGAGATGCCTTTTGGGGTGTTCCCCGTGGCTCCCTGCAGACGGACATGCCCGAGGTGCACAGAGCCCGTCCCAGTTGCCCAGTGCCACATCCCAGTGTCAAACTGGGGCAGAGCTGGGGGTCCATGCCCGAGGATTCGCCCTTCCCCTGGGCAGCTCTGGAGCCATCCCCATACCACTGGCGTTCCCGTAGTAAATCAGCACGGCTGCTCACCGGGGGGATTTCGGGGGGTGCTGCAACCGGCACACAGACGCCTGCATATTGCTGCGAGCTCAGGAGCAGCTTTACAAGCCCCAGGCATTGTTGCTGTGTCTGGAACCTGTGTTCCCTTTAAAATCAATAGCACAAAGGACGCGGGAGCGGGCTGGTTCGCCTGCGTTGCCGATTGTCACCCGGCTGACACAGCCCCTCCAGCTCCAGTTGTTCTCCCTCGGCACAAAGCAACGCTGCCTTCAGCGTGACAGAGCGCTTCTACCTCCGACCCTCGCTCGGAGAGCTGCGTTTTCTGCTCGTACCTGGGAAGAAAAGACGCCGCAGTCAGGCCTTTACACCACAAACAAGCAAATGAGCAGCAAAACCAGCGCCACGACGACGGAATTCAAGGAGAACGCAGCGCTTCGGCTTAAAACACAACCCCACGGGCATCCTGCCTTCATTTTGTGGGTTAAACGGTGGAAATATTCTGGAAATATTCACCCATGCCTGGATTTTGCAGGTGCTAGGGGGTCCCCCAGCCTCCAGCAGGTGCCCTGGGTTCTGTCCTGCAGCTGCAACGTCCCCATTTGGGTTTGGGGCCCCCCCGGTGCTCCCCATCGAGTACAACCCCTCCCTGCCTTTGCTGGCGGGGGGATATTTTATTTATCTCCTCGTGATTTTACCAGGATTTAAGGTTCTGTGGGTGCCACTTTTCTCTCTCTTCTCCCCCCCCCCTTTCCCTTAACCTTGTTTGCGCGATGCTGCACCCGGATTAAATATTTACGGTTTTCTCCGTCCTGGTGAGCCTCCCAGTTCCCTTCCAGTCTCGATTAAAGATTTACAAGGTGGGCATCGACGCTTCTGCAGGGCCGAGAAGCAGCCCCCCTCGGCAGCTTTTTAAGTGCTTCGTTAGCCGTAGTCCAGCAGAGCTCACAGAAATCAGGTCCCCAACACCAGCACGCGCAAACCTGCCCGGCACAGCCCGGGTGGTGGGAGCTGAGCGCTTGCAACCCCCAAATAACTTCCACGCTTGCAATCTGCACACCCCCAGCTCCCCAGGACCCCCCCAGGGGTGGCAGAGCTGCTGTTTTTAGGAAAATTTACAAGCTAGAGGACAACAGGCACCAGGGCAGAGCCGGTCCTGGCACGGAGCCCTCCTGCAGCTCCGCTAGGACGGGGCAGCTCACCGCAAGGCTGGCAGGAGCAGGGTCAGTTTCTCCCCCCTCTCTGCTCTAATATTTATAATTAGCCAGCTTTTTTAGATCAATATTTTATCGGGAAGGTTGCTGGGGTAATTCACGCTTCGAGCGTCTCCCCTCCACGTGAGCAAAGCCCGGGCTATTAGGAATAATTAACTTTTTGCGACTTACCTTCTTAGCGGAGCAATAAATCTTTAATGGTAGCTGGGAAATTTAATAATGGAAATCGAGGCGGTGACCTCAAAACTTCCAGGCAAGGTTGGCAGGGGGGAGGCAGACGGGGCTGGGCCATAGGGGCGAGGTGACGGGAGCACAGCGAGGAGACGCAGCTGCCCGTAGGGATGCGGTGATGCCCGGGACGGGGGGCGCAGGATCCGCACCCCACCACCAGCACCACCAGTACCACCAGTACCACCAGTACCAGGCACCCTCTTTGCAGAGAAGGAGAAACCACCAGGATTTCCAGGCGAGCTGCTGACACCACCAGCTCCTGGCTCTCCCTCGGCTGCCGACGCGCTCAGAATTTTATTTCCAAGCAGGGAAGGAAGAAGGAGAGCGCAACCCCCCACGCTTTCCCCCGCCACCCTGGGGTTTTTGGGAGGCATCCACGGCTCGGCGCCGCCAGCCTCTCCCCCCAAAGCAGATGTTTCCCCCGCTTGTCAGCAGCCGAGTGGCTGTCAGAGCCCTGCATTATTTATCCGCTCGGTAACATTTGCTGGGATTTAGTGTTTAATAACTGTCACTCCAATATATCTTTTCTTAATCCCCTCAGATCCGTCGCTGTGGCAATTTTAAATATTTATCAGCGCAGTTTGTGTGTTCACTGTTAAGGTTGCAATTTTCTTGTAATTAAAGATTTACAAGACACTGCTCAAGATGTAGGAAAGATTGGTAAAGATCAAAGCCGTTTGGCATTCCCGCTGCAAACCGGCGGCTCCCCGGGGCTTTCCATGGGACCCCGATGCCCGAGCGATGGGGCAGCCCCCCCCCGGCACCCCCAGACACCCCCAGGCCGTTTTTGCTGTTGTTTTTCCCCATTGCTGCTTGCAAGAGGAGCCCTTTTATTGCAAAACCAAGGGCTTTCACCCCGATTCATCGTGGCTTCCCCCTTCCAAACCCTTTTACTCCTCAGGGCCTCATCCAGCGGGGGCAAATGGAGCTGTGGGCACGTGGTGCAGATGCTCAATGAAGCTTCTGCACCCCCCTAGGGACTCCCACCCTCCCACTGCCCCTGCTCACCCCCCAACATCCCCGCTGGTGCCTGCTCCCCCCAGCTGGGCTCCGGCTCCTTGGTTCCCATGAATATTCATTTCTCATCAGCGCCAGCCCTGCCTGCCTCTCCTTCCCATTTACCCACGCGCAAACCCAAATCGCTTTCCCCCTCTCCCCCACCTCGTGAGGATTTGATGTGGTTCCAGGATGACTCCGCAGCAGCGAGGCACCGGCCGTGCCCTCTCTCCCTGCTCGAGCAGGACGCGGGCGGAGGATTGGGGTTTGGTGCCCACGAGGGGTTTTTTTGGATACCCACAGCCCACGCGCAGCTCGTGCCAGCAGAGCCCTGCCTCACCAGCACCCGCAGCATCCGTGGTCTGTTGGCATCGTGTGGCAAAGCCA